CATCATCATCAGCAACATCAGCATTAGCATCATCATCAGCATCATCATCCTCATCAGCATCATCATCATCGTCATCGTCATCGTCATAATAATAAAAGTGATAATAAAAAATAATGGTGATAATAATAATAATCAGCATCATCATCATCATCATCATCAGCATAAGCATAAGCATCATCATCACCATCATCAGTATCATCATCATTATCGTCATCATCATCCTCATCATCATCATCGTCATCAGTATCATCAGCCTTATCATGATCATCATTATCATCACCATCACCATCATCAGCATCAGCAGCATCAGAATCATCATCACCATCATCATCATCATCCTCATCATCATCAGCATCATCATCACCATTACCATCATAAGCAGCACCAACCTCATCGTCATCAGCATGATCAGCATCATCATCATCACCACCACCACCATCATCATCGTCATCAGCATCAGCATCAACAGCATGATCATCGGCATCATCATCAGCATCATCATGATCATCATCGACATCATCATCATCAGCGGCAGCACCGTCATCATCACTATCAAAATCAACATCCTCAGGAATCATCATCAACAGCATCATTAGCTTCAAAAACATCACCATCATCAGTTTAATCATCATCACCACCACCACCGCCATCATCATCATCATAGTCATCATAATCACCATCATCATCATCATCAGCATCATCATCATCATCATAAGCATCCTCAGGATCATCATCATCAGCAGCATCATCATCGTCATTACCATCATAACCATTATCATCACAATCATCAGCATCATCATCAAAATCATCATCCCACCCATCCGCTTCCAACTCTTCAGCATCCTGTTCCTCCTCCTCCCCCTCATCCTTGTCTTCACCCTCGCTATACGCCTTCAACTCAGCCCTCAACCCTACGCCACCAGACCGCCCCGCTCCCGCTCCACATTCAACACTCCAGCTCGTCTTCCTCCTCCACTTAGACCCCTCCTCCTCTTGGCGATGAATGGGAGCAGCTCCAAGCAATTCGTGATGAGCAAGTCAACTTGGGCATGGCCCAACCAAGCTGTCCTAACGGCACTGATGTGATTCTTCTCGGGCACTGCGCAGGCAATCCACAAGACATCGGCCCCCTCGGGCGATCTCCCGGGGAATGCCCGGCCCATCCACAAGACGCCCGAGCCTCTATGCCTTTCACCGAAAGGAAAGATGCACCGTGATTCGATATCACAGCGCTCTGCCTGCTGGCTGCAGCCCGAGCGCCTTACCACCGTGGGGCGACGACGGACCCAAGGCTGCAGTGGAGGGCACAGAAATTACCAAAAAACAGAAAATGTCAATAGCCCGACCTGACCTGGTGCATCGGCGTTGGGACCCCCCTCCCCTGGCGCGCGCATGCTCGCAGGAGGCGGAGGCCAGAGGCGCCGCCTGGGATGGCTGGAAGGGGGCCCGGGGCTGACATCAAGAGTAGGGGAACAAAAAGTGGCATGAACATAAAAACTCGGAGGTCCGCGCGGATTTCTCGGATCGGCGCTGGACCCCCCTCCCTGGCGCGCGGAGCGAGCCAACGGCGGCGCCGAAGGCGCCGCCGGGGGGCCCCAGCGCCGATCCGAGAAATCCGCGCGGACCTCCGAGTTTTTATGTTTATGCCACTTTCTGTTCCCCTAAAGAGGCCGCTCGGGCCTCAGAGAATTTATGCACGTCGATGCACGCCGATGGAGCCTGCCCTCTCCCGTGCTGCCTGCCCCTCCTCTCCTATCCGTGTGCTGTCTCTGCTTCTCGTCGATTCAGCCCGCCCCGCCCCGCACAGGGAGAGGCAGGGGGGAGGCAGGCTGTCCCAGGGCCGCCCCACCTGGTGCGCCATGCCGGGCGGCAGGCGAGGCGATTCCGATGATATGGCTGGCCCGACGGCGTGGCAGCCGGGGGGCGATTTCGCGGGCGACACGTGCCACAGCTCGGGCCCCAGACGCCCGCGCGGAAACACTGCGGCGCGTGCAGCGGAAGGCTTAGGAGGAAGTCCCCCTGCACACAACACCTGACCGTCCCCGTCATCCTCCAAGAACAGATAATATTCCTCCCCCGCTGCCTCCCCGAAGCACCTACATCGTTCCGCCACCTCGCTATCCTCTGCGTGCTGCTTATCCTACGCAGCCCTCCTCCACCCCACCGTTTTTGATCTTCATGTTCCTGCCCATGCCCTTCCGCCTCCACATCATGCTCTTTTTCCACAATCCTCCTCCTCCTCCTCCTCCTCCTCCTCCTCCTCCTCCTCCTCCTCCTCCTCTCATCATCATCATCATCATCATCATCATCATCATCATCATCATCATCATCATCATCATCATCATCATCATCTCATCATCATCATCATCATCATCATCATCATCATCATCATCATCATCATCATCATCATCATCATCATCATCATCATCATCATCATCATCATCATCATCATCATCATCTCATCCTCATCCTCATCCTCATCATCCTCCTCCTCATCATCATCATCATCACCATCATCATCATCATCATCCTCATCATCCTCATCCTCATCCTCATCCTCATCCTCATCCTCATCCTCATCCTCATCATCATCATCATTCATCATCACATCATCATCATCATCAGCATCATCATCATCATCATCATCATCATCATCATCATCATCATCATCATCATCATCATCATCATCTCGTCATCATCATCATCATCATCATCATCATCATCATCATCATCATCATCAGCATCATCATCATCATCATCATCATCATCATCATCATCATCATAATCATCATCATCACATCATCATCATCATCATCATCATCATCATCATCATCACCATTCATCATCATCATCATCAGCAGCAGCAGCATCATCAGCAGCATCATCATCATCATCATCATCATCATCATCATCATCATCATCATCATCATCATCATCATCACCACCATCATCATCATCATCATCATCATCATCATCATCAGCATCATCATCATCATCATCGTCCTCATCACCATCATAATCATCATCATCACCATCATCACAATTATCATCATCCTCAACATCATCATTATCATCAACATCATCATCATCATCCTCATAACCCTCAGAATCCTCATCCTCATTATCATCATCAGCAACATCGTCATCTTCATCCTCATCCTCATCATCAGCATGATCGCCATCGACGTCATGAGCATCATCACCATCACCACCACCACCGCCAAAACCACCACCACCTTCATCATCATCATCATCATCATCATCGTCATCACCACCACCATCATCATCCGTATCATCCCCATCCAAATCATCATCATCAGCAGCAGAATCAGCCCAATCATCATCATCATCGGCATCATCGTCATCGACATCGGCATCATCAGTATCATCCTCATAGTGATCAGCATCCTGTTAGTCATCAGCATCATCGTCAGCATATTCGTCCGTATCATCATGATCAGCAATATCGTCATCATATTCATGACATACCTAACGATCATACGTACCAACCCCAATACGATCATCATCATCATCATCACCATCATGATCAAGACCACCACCGCCATCATCGTCATCATCGTCATCATCACCATCATTATTAATGATGTCATTATCATCATCGTGATCAGCTCCATCGTCATCGGCATCATCATCATCATCATCAACAGTATCATCATCAGCATCGTCATCATCATCGTCGTCGTCATCGTAATTATCATCATCAGCAGCAGCAGCAGCGGCACCATAAGCATCATCATCACCATCATAATCACCATCATCATCACCATCATCATCATCGTCAGCATCATCATCGTCATCATCATAGTCAGCATGATCATCTTCATCATCATACTCAGCATGATCATCCTCATCATCATGCCCGACGATGGCATTTCCAAGCCAGGTCGGAACATGTTAGACAGCAAGAGGCAGCACCGTGAACGACACGGGGGCCGGCAAGAGAGATAATTCATCAACCGATTTAGTGCTCTGGCGAACGGCCCCACGCCCACGGCGAAGCCTTGCAGCAGCAACATGGCGGGGGGGCGGGAGCTCAAGAGCCGAAGGCTATTGATAAGAGAAAACGAATTCTGCATTCGGCCTCTCCTTTCCCCTCTCAAGGCAGTCCTCTTCAATAGAGAAAATCCATGCCCGACGATGGCATTTCCGAGGCCAGGTCGGAGTATGTTAGACAGCAAGAGCCAGCACCGTGAACGACACTGGGGCCGGCAAGAGAGAGAATTCATCAACCGGGTTAATGCTCTGGCGAACGGCCCCGCGGCCGAAACATCCCGAACAATCCGGAGGGCTACTCCTCTGATGTTAGCTGCCTAGCCAGAGCGGTGCGACTGACAGCGCCTCGGAGTGCAGTCTGGCACCGACGAGCGCGCGAGCCCATCGTCTCGCGAGCGCCTTGGGTAGGCCTGCGCAACTAAAGTCAACAAAGGCCTTCCAGGAGCTTCTCCCCTTAGAATCTGATGAGGCTGACCAGTCCTACTACAACAGGTACGAGAGCCAGTGCATAAGCGAGCGAAAGCCGAGACATCAACACGATAACCTAGGAGGCCAGTCGGCTTTTCCCACGCTGCCCCATCTTGGCAAAAATGTGTGAGAGTCCAGAAAAAATGAGGTTGCTCACGAGAGCTTTGCAGAGACGGAAAGAGCCACAGCCTAGGCATCGCGGGATTCTCGACTGTAAAAGGGATCTGCAGACGCTTACAACTGGCCCAAAAATTCTCACAGCATCTGACTAGCTTATTTGCGGTCGTGATCTGAGCCCGGTCAACTGGGTGCGTCACAGCTGCAAGCCCCCAGAGCTCTGAGTCGGAGCGAAGACGGAGCTCGGCCAGGACGGAGGCCCGCCTGGCACGCGCAGCGGTCCGGTGTCTCGGACTCTGGACCATGTCTCACAGGGCACGCCGACATGCATGCCCCAGATCAGGCCGGCGTCCAACCAGCCCCGCAGCACGCGGGAGACCTTCGGGTCAATGGTTCCAGTCGGCGCCCCAGCCGATGCCCCATTCGATGACCAGGGCGCCCTCGCTCCGCAAGGCTGCTGCAAGCACGCCTTCGCCGGAGAAAACCTCCACGAAGATCGGCGGCGCCAGGAAGCGCCTGCGGCGGGGGCCCAGCAGCCTCCTCAGCGCCAGCCGAGGAGAGAGGCCAGCCGTGCTGGGGCCAGCAGGGCCGCGCGCTGCGCCTCGGGCGCCAGCCTCTGCAGCTGCTCGTTGACGCGGCCTGGCTCGAGGTAGCGCGCGACCGACGCGTCGGTCCGCCAGCGGCCGCGGAGCTTGACGCTGGCCAAGGTCCGCAACTGCAGTGCCAGCTCCACCGACGGGCCTGAGTGCCGCAGCTGATACAGCTGCGGGGTGAGCGACGCCAGCCCCCTGTCCTCCGCCGCCCCCTTGAACAGGGAGCTGACGCGCACGAGAGGGAACGGGAACAGCGGCTCGCTCGGGTGGGTCGCCGCCTTGAGCCAGCGGAGAGCGCTGGGCAGAAAGCTGTAGAAAGGCAGGTCGAAGGGGATCACCTCGTCGTAGACCTGAGTCTTGCTGGGCACTGCCAGCTCGCGAGGATGGAGCACCAGTGACCAGCCGTCGCACACGCCCCCCGGCGTCGGGGGGAAGGTGGGCCCCCAGGGCCCGCAGCGCCTTCGACGGCCGCGGGTAGCCCGCGAAGGTCACCAGCACGTAGAGGGCGACCCGCAGCTGACCCCGATCGATCAGGCGAGTCGCGACGAGCGCCACGATCTCCCAGGGCAGCGGGAGCCTGGCGCGAGCTGGTACTCGCCTCCGCCAGCCTCGCAAGGCCTGCAGCGCCTTCGGCAGCCCCTGGCCCCCGCGCCGGAACTGCGGCATCATGAACTTCAGCGCCGCCAGCATGTAGGCCCCGCGCTCGGGGTTCCAGCCCTCGGCGCACTGCTGGCCCATCCAGTGCGCCAGCAGGTCGTCCGCCGTCTCGGCGCGGAGGGCCACGGTCACGGTCGTCATCCAGGCCACGAACTCGGCCCAGAGGCGCGTGTACTTGGCCCTCGTGGTCGCCGAGATCGAGAGGGCCCTCAGGACATGACCCGCCGAGGAGCGAGGGAAGGCTGCCTCGGGCGCTCGCGCCGCGGCCCTCCCCGCACGCTTGGCGGCCGCCTCCGCCGCCTTTGACAGGTGGCTGCGTCTCGCCCGGCGCTGGCCTCGCTGCGAGGCCGTCGCCTGGCTGGGGCGCGCCGCTACTGCCTGGCGCGGGACCGTCGCCACGAGCGGCGCTGGCGTCAGCACCTGCCTGTCCGCCCTCCCGCGCGGCGGCCAGACTGGCGACAGCATCCCAGCGCAGCCGCGCGCCGATCCTCAGCGCCCGGCGGGAGGGCAGGTCCGCCGGGTTCGCCTCCGACGGGATCCACCGCAGCGCCGCGGCGACGCCTCCTGCCACCACGAGAGCGGCCCACTGGCGGCAGATGCGCGCCATCCTTGGCCGCGAGGAGCGGCCCTTGGTCAGGGCCAGGACGGCGACGAGACTGTCTGAGAGGAAGAGGACGCGATGGCCATGCTGCCCGGCGTCCCGGAGGACGCGCTTCAAGGCGTGGATTAGGGCCCCCCCTCCAAGGCTGCGATGCGCTCCTCCCTCTCCCAGGCCCCGCTCGAGATGACAACCCAGTCCCCTGAGATGTGATGCACTTCCAGAGGCTCGAAGTCGGTCTCCTGGGGCTCCGCGTGGTGGCTGCCTTTGTCCACGGGGGCGACGGGCTCCTGGATGCACGACGGGTCGCTGCAGACGTGACCTTTCGAGGATAACTCGGAGTAGACGAGGGCCTCCAAGGGCTCGAGGAGCTCGATAAGCTGCTCCCAGGGCGCCGTCGCACTGGGGTCTCGGAACCGCCGCCAGCCCTCCTGGATCCTACCCATCCTCTCCACCACGTCGTTGCTCATTTCACGATCGCATACCCATCGGCCCCACTCGGAGGCATCCGCACACAGAACTCGGCCCAGCCAGCGGGCCCGGAGGTCGGCGTGAGCAGCGGGGCAACCCCCATGGCCCACGTCAGCTCTCGGCGCACGCTGGGCCACCAAGGCCTACGCGCCCCACCGGCCTTTGCGATGAAGCGGTACACGGGAAAACTACCAGCAGCGGGCGCCTGACCATGAAAAGGAAGGTGCAGTGGCCCACGTACCTGGCGCACCTGCCGGGCCGAGACCCTCGGCATGGCGAGGAGCGCGCGCGTGGCCAGGATGATCCTCCAGGCTCTCCGAGGCGAAGGCGCGACAGCTCCCCGCGCGCCATCGATGACCCCGCCCAGCACCTGCGCGTGGAGCGAGGCGGCCCCCCCCATGCACCGGGAGGCCCCCGCTGCGCAGCTCGTCGACCATGTCATCTTTCAGGCGGTCGCCGGTGTCACCGTCGAGAGCGAGGGAGGCGAAGTTGTCGACGCACACGAGGTGCGCGCCAGCGCCCAGGCTAGGGCCGTTCCTCCGGTCCGCGATCCTGGACAGCACTGGCAGCCCTGCGCGGTCGGCGGCCGCCTCCGACACCCGCTGGCAGACGGCCAGCGCGTGGGACCAGCCCATGGGCAGCACCGCGAGCCGCGGCCAGAGCCGCTGTCGCGCGCGGCTGCCCGGGGGCGGCCTCCCGCCCAAGCCTCCAGGAGTCAGCGGAGGCAGCGCGAAATACGGCCTCCAAGCGCCCGGCAACTGCATGTTGTAGAAGGCGTCCGCGATGTCCGCCGAAGCGGTCCACAAGAGGGCGCAGTCCGGCAGCTCGATCGCCGCCAGCGCCGCGCCGGTGGCCAGGTGGACGCCCTCGGGGTCGGCAAACCAGAAGTTGGCGGGGCGGGCGTCCACGACCAGCCGCTGCTTCCCACTCTTCTTGGCCACGCTGAACAGGCCAACCTCGTCGACCACCAGGGCGGCGTCGCTGACGAGGTCGACCACCCCGGCCTCGTGGAGACGCCTCACCAGCGCTGCATAGCGGCGAGGGTCTCGAAGGCAGGAACTTCGGTCTTTGGCAAGGGTTTAGGGTTTAGGGTTTAGGGTTTAGGGTTTAGGGTTTAGGGTTTAGGGTTTAGGGTTTAGGGTGTTGCCCGCAAAGCGGTGTGGGCGCGCGCACGCATCCCACCCCCACATCAAGATTGTTGGGAGTGGGATGCTGTGTGCGCGCTCGCGTTGCTTGTCCTCCCGCCCCACTCCGCCCCGGCTATTCTCTTTTAGGGTTTAGGGACACAGAGAGTTCTTCCCCCCAGCCCCCACTCATGGGAGTGTCGAACACCACGTCGTCCTACCTGAGAACGCGCAGGCGCTGTAACGCATTGGGAAACAGCCTCCAGGTTTAGTTCGCGCGTTGGGGAACGCCCGACCGGGCGATCTCTTCCGACTCTCGCAGGAGCGGTTCTGCGCGGTGGCGCACGCGCAGCGGTTTGCCGGCCAACGAGGTGTCGTACCTTGTGGCCCATGTTACGCTGGCGACGCCAGAACCGCGCCTGCGCGCTCTTTTTCGATGCCCAGGCGCGCTGGCGAGCGCATATGGCGATTGAAGTAAACTTACGCAGATGCCTCAATCTCAGAAGCGATCATGGTGGGCCACGACAAAATGGACCAGCTCGCCGGACGCTCCGCGGCTCGCGCGCGCGCGAAGGTCCCGCGCTGACACCACGTCGTCCTAGAGTCTCCGGGGTTCGTTCGCGCGTTGGGGGACGCCCGACCGGGCGACCTTTTCCGATTCTCGCAGGAGCGATTCTGCGCGGTGGCGCACGCGCAGCGCTTTGTCTCGGATGGTGGGAGGGGAAGCTCGAGGGGGCGGGCCTGGCGCCCCCTCGATGCGACGCACCAGGCACCGCGTCGCGTGCGTCAGCCGGCCGGCCGGCCGGCCGTCCAGCCGTCGAGTGTATTCCTTAACGCTGAATTACGTTGGCGACGCCAGAACCGCGCCTGCGCGCTCCTTTTCGGTGCGCAGGCGCGCTGGCGAGCGCATATCGCGATTGGGGTAAAATTATCCCGGCAAAGCAACCTAACAGCGATGTGTAGAAGCAAAGCTGGAAACATTGCCTGTGGTATTCATGTAAGAGTGCTGTTGTAGAATTCTGGTGTTCTCGCAGTCGCATTCGGATTCGCAGTGGCAGTCGCAGTGGCAACATCAGCGGCAGTCGCAGTGGCACTGCCAGTAGTTGCAGTAGCAATAGCTACACTAGCAGCAGCAACAGCAGCAGCAACAGCTACCGAGAACTATCAGCATGTCCTGGCATTAAGGTGTGCAGTAGGCGCTGCGCAGTTCCTTTGAAAGGAATTCGTCGAAAGCAGGGCTTTAGCCAAGAAGGCTACGGGGACGATGGTGATGATGAAGACGATGAGTCTTGAAAAACTGGGAAGTGGAAGCGCACGAAGTGGCGCACAGTTGGCTCCGGGCATTCAACATGTGGCCCGGGAGTAAACTTTTGGGAAGTGGAAGAACACGAAGTGGCCTACAGTTGGCTCCGGGCATTCAAAATGTGGCCCAGGAACTATGTTCTGGGAAGTCCAAGAACACGAAATGACCTACAGTTGGCTCCGGGCATCAAAAATATGGCCCGGGAATGGAGTTCTGGGAAATCGAAGAGCACGAAGTGGCCTGCAGTTGGCTCCGGGCATCCAAAATGTGGCCCGGGAATGGAGTTCTGGGAGATCAAAGAGCACGAAGTGGCCTACAGTTGGCTCCGGGCCTTCAAAATGTGGCCCGGGAATGGAGTTCTGGGAGGTCGAAGAGCACGAAGTGTGTGACTATTTGCTTAAAACGAGCCCGGCCCTCGCCTGTCCGGCTCCCGCCCGGGGGATCTTGGCAGCGTGCTGGCTTTGGGTTCCGGCTTTCGGGTTCTTATTTCCTGCTACGCAGGTAGCCTGTGGCGTAGCCAGCCTGAGGCGTGGCGCGTGGGCGGTCGAGCTTAACCTCTCCCTTTCCGTAGATCCTTCAGGCGCTCCACTGAACGTTCCGACCGAGGCTCGCATGCGTCTGGGGCATCCCGACAGCGACGCATACTCGAGTTTAGGGTTTAGGGTTTAGGGTCCACTAGCCCAAACTTGCAGCCCACTTGACCGTGTCCCACCCACCCATGACCCAAGACATTTTGATCTCGATGCGGTATCAACACGCGACTCGCAAAACGACGACAAGGACGACACCGATGACGACGACGTTGATATTGTTTCCAAAACGACGACGACGCGGCCGCGCAAAGACACCTGGATCACTTGGCGAAACAGCCACGCACGAAACCGACAACAAAGCACACGGAGTGGACGTCCGAGCGATGGCGCGCCGCGCCGCGGCAGCTCCGCCGCCCTCGCGCGCCACAGTGCGCGGCCCTCCTGCGCGTGGGGGCACCGCCTCGCGCCGCTCTCTCTCGCGCGGCCCCGCCGCCGCCGCGGCCTCCGCGGGCGCCGCGGCGATGCCCGAGCGCGCCGGGCGCGCCGGGCGCGCCTCCTCGCGCCTCCCCGCGGGGGGGGCGCCGCCTCTCCGGGCGTGCCAGATCGGCGATCCGGCCAGAACACCATTCCTGCCGCTCCGAGGCCAAGGATCTGCGTGAGGGGCGCACCCTGAGATTTGCAGATGCTCCCAGAACGCCACCCCTGGCGCTCCGAGGGCAAGGATCTGCGCGAGGGGTGCGCCAAAATGGGGGGGGGCGGCCGAAGGGGGGACTTTAGGGCGGCGGAAAAGCTTTCAGGATTTAAATCTTTATAGGCTCTTAGTTTTAAGGGCTTTCGGGCTTTACGGCTTTAGGGCTTTAGGGCTTTACGGCTTTAGGGTTGCAGGGTTTAAAAGTTGTGGGGGTTCTAGGGCTTTAGGGTTTTAGGGCCTTGGGGCTCTAGGGCTTTAGGGCTTAGAGGTTTAGGGCATTAGGGTTCTAATGCTTTTAAAGGCTTTGAGGCTTTAGGGCTTTAGGGCCTCGGGGTTTTAGGGCTTTACGGATTTAGGGCTTTAGGGTTTTAATGGCTTTAGGGTCTTAGGGTTTTAGGGTTAGGGTTTTAGGGCCCGGGGGGGTTAGGGCTCTAGGGTTTTAGGGCTTTAAGGTTTTAAGGCTACAGGGATTTAGGGCTTTAGGGTTTTAGGGTTTGGGGGTTTTGGGGTTTTTTGGATTTACACGTTTTATGGCTTCAGGGCTTTAGGGCATTAGGGCTTTAGGCCTTAAGGGCTTTAGAGCTTTAGGGCTTTAGGGCTTCAGGGCTTTAGGGCTTTAGGGCTTTAGGGCTTTAGGGTTTTAGGGCTTTCGGGCTTTAGGGCTTTAGAGCTTTAGGGCCTTAGGGCCTTTGGGTTTAAAAGCTTCAGGGCTTAAAAGCTTCACGGCTTTAGGGCTTTAGGGCTTTAGGGCTTTAGGGCTTTAGGGCTTTAGGGCTTTAGGGCTCTAGGGCTCCAGGGCGCTAGGGCTCCAGGGCTTTAGGGCTTTATGGCTTTAGGGCTTTTGGGTTTTAGGGCGTTAGTGTTTTAGGGTTCTTAAGGTCTTAGGGTCTTAAGGCTTTAGGGTTTTAGGGCTTTAGGGCTTTAGGGTTTTAGGGCTTTGTAGGGCTTTAGGGTTTTAGGGCTTTAGGGTTTTAGGGCTTTAGGGCTTTAGGGCTTTAGGGCTTTAGGGCTTTAGGGTTTTAGGGCTGTAGGGCTTTAGGGTTTAGGGTTTAGGGTTTAGGGTTTAGGGTTTAGGGTTTAGGGTTTAGGGTTTGGGGTTTAGGGTCTACTAGGCGTGGCCACGAATACAACGTGACCGCGAACCCACCTGCGGTGGCCGTCACTCCCACCCGCACGCTACCCCACCATAAAGATCATCTCTCCCCTCGTGAGAACCGCATCGCATACAGCGTCGACGACGACGACGACGACGGCGACGACGGATGCGCGATCCAGTGGGCACGCGAGTGCTGTTTCGGGCGGGAGTCGGGTCGGGCGGAAGAGGTTCAGCACGCATGCGCAGGAAACGCTAGTCGGTGGAATCGGTGGATCGGGTCGGGCGATGGCACACGAGCACCCTAACGGACGGGAAGGGTCGGCCAAGCAAAACGAACAGGGAATCAGGTCGGGCGAAAGAGATTCTGCACGCATACGCAGCAAATTCTATTCTTTGAAAAGACAAATCTGCTCGCAGCGGGGGCCGGGCACTTTGTAATGTAAAGTACAAGAGATTATGCACGCATGCTCCGCACATGCTATTTTTTCCCATAGATGGACCGGATTGACATAACCAAGTCGCAACAAGGGCCGGGCACTTTGCTCAGCAAATGCTATTTCTTGCAATAGATGAACGCGGAACGCATCAGGGAACGGGTACTTTGTAATGTAAAATAGAAGAGATTCTGCACGCATGCTCAGCACATGCTATTTTTTGCAATAGATGGACCGGGTTTACATAACGGGTCGCAACGGGGACCAAACACTTTGCAATGTAAATTACAAGAGATTCTGCGAGCATGCTCAGCAAATGCTATTTTTTGCCGTAGATGAAGGCGGAACGCAACGGGGGCCGGGCACTTTGTAGTGTAAAATACATAAGATTCTACACGCATGCTCAGGAAATGCGATGTTTTACAGTAGTTGGAGCCGGGTTGCATACGGAGCGGTTTTGTAATAGTCAGGATTAAATAATTATAAGATTAGAAATTTAAGGTTTAGGGTTTAAGGTTTAGGGTCTAACAGGGCAAGGCCAGGAATACCTACCTGCATAGGCACTCACCTGCGGTGGCTACCAATCCCCCCCGCATCTCCACCCCCCCATAAAGATCATCTCTCCTCTCCTTGTGACAACATCGCTGGTACAGCGTGGCTGTAGCACAGCAGAGCATAGCAGAGCTACACAGGTAGGCGCTGCGAGACGCGCGCGGCTGCCGCGCGCATGTGCACTCTGTCGTATTTTCTGCAATGGATTATTGGCATGGACACAGCTTGCAAGAGCCAAATGTTGAGTTTATATTGTTTTTTACAATGGAAA